TGTTTGCTTCTAAACTTTGCGACTCGAACATTTCTCGATTACAGGTAAGCGCCCAATCTAAAACCATTTTTTTTAACCTACAGAGTATTCGCCTGGAAACTTTGGTGTACACTGTCTTTTCTGCATCCGTACAGGTACCGCAGAAATCGCAATACAGAATTCTTAACCTTTCCATCTTTGTTGGCATAGGGTGGTCTCGGGAGTTTTATAAAATCTACACCATTTTGAAAATATTAAATACCCAGGCACTTCTGTAAGGGACGGGAAAATCAGACAGAAGCAACTACATATGTAATAGATAGTATGTAGTAATAATAGAAAAGGAAAATATTTTTATTGGATTCAAATAAAAAATAAAAATATGGCAGGGCTGAAACTGACCAAAACAAGAAGACAAACAAACCGCAGTCTGAAGTTTGCGGTCATTCTTGTTATGTATTTGTGTAGCGTAGTGATGCGAAATGTGATGACCACCACCATCAACCACCACCTTACCAACTCGCTGCTTGATTTTTATGGCAAATTGCGCAATTTGTTCGAAAAGTCAATAGGGGTATTCTCGAAGTCTTGCATGATGCACGGATTGCACGAAATGCAAAAATACTATTCCAAATTTGGAAGAGTACGAGAGCACCCCAATGCAAAGTGGTAGCATGTATGGGTAGCAAGCAGCGAAATTATGTATCAAATACAATAACAAGATACAGCACAAAAAAAATTAAATGAGCGAGATGAGAGGAGTGAGAGAAATATGTAGCAATTCCAACAACAAAACAACTAGCACAGGGTCGCATTTATCTTGCTATGCTATTTCTGCAAAATATATACATGGGTTTCGACGTTGCATATTTTGCAGCGATAGGAAATGTTATTTCCCATGTATTTTGTTGTTGTGTGTTTGCAATTTATGCCATCCATGCAATCCGTGCTGCGTGCAATGGCTTTGCAAGATTTGGAGAATACCCCTAATGTATTCTGATGCTGATGTATGAGTGTGTAATCCTACCCTGCAGGAAATGTATCTAACTAAAAGTTAACTTGAAGTTTATTAGGAAGGAACTAAAGGTCACTATTTTTTATATGTATATTTTCTTTGAGGAAAGCTAAATATATTTATATCGCGATGGCCGCATTAGGGTGGTTAACTCTGCATTAGACGTCAACTAGGGATGCCAAAATATGAGGAAAATTGTGATCCCAAGATTTCGGGATATTTTTTCAGTAATCTCGGGATCCCGGGATTCACATTTAGTCATAACTTTTATCAATATGGGTAAAAACTCAATATCTGATAGAATTTAAACATGTCATGAAATAAAACTATTTCAAATTTACGATAAACTTACTGTTACCGCCCTATTCCCACAACACTGACAAAATTCATCATATGACTATTGTCACAATTACTGCGCCTAAAACACAATATAAACATTGTTTCGCCGTTGTCACTTACTCAGTAGGTCACAACAATAAAACTGACAATTGTCATACGACAGTTTAAAATAAATTTGCGGCATAGTATTAGGCGCAGTAGTAAAGGCAATAGTCAGCCGCTGAGTTTTGTCAGTGGTGTGGGAATAGGGCGGTTAAACTCACATATCACTAGCTTGGAGTGAAAAGTTGCTAATTTATGAAAAATCATATTTTGATACCGGAGGCTAGATAAATTAAAAATACATCGTTTCGAAAAGGGGTAAAGGTCCTTGTTTTATGTTTTTTCGTTTACATTCAATGAAAGGAAAATTTGGTAAGTACAAAAAAAGCTCCGAAAATTCGATAAGGCCAAAATAGTTCGAAATCTTTTAATAAAGATCAAGTCCCTCTGATTTGTATGGAGCTTCGCATTGCTTTAAACAGGCAAAATTTTGTATTCAAAGTTTTGCGAAATACACACTGAGGGAAAAAAAAGTTTTATAATTAAAAAAACGTGCTAAATTAAAAAAAAAATACTCATATGAAAGAGCACCAACCCAACTCGTTTTAAATTTGGGTATATACGTTACAAAATATGTGTTTGTGAAAAAAGGCTCAGACTGCAATTTCAAGCGTTTTGTTAATTTCAGTCAAAACGGCATTTTACAAAAGTCATACTTCAAAATTCATTAACAAGTTCTTACTATCAATTCGATACTTCAAATTTTTCGGGATCTCGGGATTATTGCAAGCAAATCCCGCGATTGTTATCCCTAGTGTCAACTTACTTGTAAATGACTAATTTTGGACATAAAATATCTATAAAAAAAAAGGTTTTTTATTTTTTTACATGTTTGTTTATTTACTTTATTTTATTCCCTTACATATTTGTTTACTTATTCTGCTCTAGGTAGTCCCATATTCGAAATCCGTCAGGCATAACTAAAAAATTATAATATAATATTTCGATCTTCGTTTTATTTGTCCTGATTTCGAAAAATTATTTGTGAAGTGTAGAAAAAAGTGTGGTTTAAAAAAAAAATTTCTACGAGGATATTTAAATAGGAACTTGTTTAAAGAAAACAATCTTCCGATTGCGTCTGCATTACCTCTGCATTATTTTTCAACTAGTTTCAAGTTAGCTTCTTGTAGCTAACTACAAGTTATGTATTTTATAGAAATCCTGTAAAAAAGCTAACTACAAGGTGGTTATTTTTATAAATTGACACTTTTTTTCTGCAGCGTACATATGTGCTTATAAATGTATGTACATATATTTACCCTGTACAAAAAATCCTCAGTTCGACCTTGCCTACCTGACAGTTGTGAACAAGTTGTGAAAATGTTTCCTAACAAAATTGTCATTCAGCCTCATATCCTGAGTTTCGCCCGAAAACAAATTCATATGAAATTTTTTCATGAAACAATCCGGTTCGGCGGAAATTGAGCTCATAATAAGTCTGATTGTGTTAAGCATGTTGCGTAACGACTTTGAGGGCGCTGTTGCGCAGACGGTCATAGGATCCCTGGTCACCACACCTTTTCTCTCATTTTTTTTTTTTATTCTTATTCCCATTGACCAACCGAAAACTTTCATAAGATGTGCGCAAGTGTTCGTTATATTTAAGCAGACTTCATTTTCAGTGTGTATGTACAAATTACGAGCTTTTTAATAAGATTCCACAGAAAGATTTTGAGTCTGCAGTTTTGTAGCCCCTTTAATTTAAGTATAAAAAAGTGCAAGCTAAAAGTAACCGGGACTTATGGAAGATTTTTGGATTTTTTATTTTTTTTTGTTGAAGGTGTTGTTCATTTTCTTCGTATCATCGAACATACTTCGTATGAAAGAAAATGACTGGCACTGTCAACAAAAAAAAAAAAACATATCAGAAATCAACGGTAAGTCCTAGCTACTTCAAGCTTGAACTTTGTGACACTAAAATTTAGTGGGCTATAAAACTGCATACTCAAAATCTTTCCAAGAAATCGAATTAAAAAGCTGGAAATTTACCAGACGCCATACTGGATCCGCCATTTTGAATTTTGCAATTCTGACATCGGATTCGTAATTAGCGACCCGGAAAACCCCCTAGTACGAAATTTTGAATCATTTCTTTCGAATTTTGTCCGCACTGTGAGACGGTCAAATGACCGGCGGATTTCTTTGGTTTTTTTTTTACTACTTTTTACATTTGTGTTATGAAATAAAGAAAAAAAGTATATTTTTTCATCATCGACATCTCAAAAGCAAAGAAAACAAGGGTTGCAGCAAAAGTGTACCATTCTGCTACTTAAAGGAGGAAATAGTACGAAAAAATACTCCATTTCGCTACTAAAAGACAAGTAGTAACTTATTTTTGTGTTTCAAATTTGGCAAAACCAAATTTTGTACACAGACGTCGCTTATTGTGAATGGTTGGAAACTGTCCAAGTCGTGCTAGTTCTGAACCAGAAATAATTTCTTCCAATAAATAGACATTTCCTTGCTGGGCAGACGATGCTTCCATGTCCATAGTGTGCTTATTTATCTTTGGTTTAGTTGGTATCAAATTCTACCCCTTCTGCTTTGGCGAGTTCTTTGTTTTCTAAGACGTACGTGTTCGCAATAAAAATGACAAGTGTCTGTTCTTGGCTGAAAAGTTTGTGCAAACAGCCAGCATCCCGCTGACAAACTTTCTGTAATTTTCACTTAAATTACTGTTATCAAAATTAGTGTAATGGGTTGTTACTTTTACTTCTTAACCAGCACAAAAATAGCTTTCATTGATTAACCTGAAAAAATATTCAGAAAAATACTTACGTACACATAATTCCCAAATAAATATTGGCTTACGGCGTGCTTGCTTCCTGCCTACTGCGCCTCAGCTCAACATAGATACATATATGTAGAATACCAAAATTTTGTTCCCGCTTTTTCTTGCCTTCAGCATTTTCTATTTTCGAACAAGTATGCCAGTCGTTTTGTGGCAAACTACTTTGGTTGCCTCTAACATTGCGCTGAATACACCAACCACCCCTTCGACCGAAATGGCGCCTCAAAGACAATCCAAACTATTCAACCACTTGAAGCCACCTCTATAGTTTTCAGACTCCCCCGTCGCAGTTTTCGTCGCCACAGTTACACTTGCGCTCATTATGCAGTTTTCTCGCCGCTAATTGCATATTAAATTAATTTCGTTCGCCGCTTTGCCAGTGTGTTCATGTGTGTGTGGTAGCGTTAGCGGCAGAGGCAGAAGGCAGAGCTACTTGTGGAGTAAGTAAGCAACGAATATTGCATGCAAAGTCGCACAAACAATAACAACGCCGCCATGCACAGAAAATTTGTTATTTATTTTCTAATTTTAACAGCACAGAATTGCATTTGCATACATTTTCACTTTTACTTATAATGGATTATTCCTATTTCCAATCCGCTCAGGCTGCTTTTCTTTATAGATTACGAAAGCAAAAATACACCATTATTATGGAAATTGTATGAGCAGCTTAAGCCTAATTTATTTCGTCATAGAATTTCAACAGTATAACTTTATTGCTAAAATGGCTACGAACAATCGCATAAACATTAAATAGATTAAAAACCAAATTTGGCCGCCGTATATTGCCCGAATTTGGACTAAACCTGAAATTGTAATTTTAAACCATTTTCAAACTTAATAGATGCCGTGGTGATCATAAGCGTGGTGGTACACCTGAGGGTGCTGAGCATGGCCAATTCTCTTTACAACAGCGTTGAAGCCATTATGGTCATCGGCTGTGTATTCCACAACGCGGGTAGTGCCGTCAGCTTCGGCCAAAGTGTAGCCACCTAAAAATATTAAATGTATCAAGTCTTGATTATATATTTAGCGACATAGGATTTTGATTACCCTTAACATGGTCGCCATCACGTTGCTCCCATTGACCCTTATGATCGCCAGTGTGCGCGTCCTTAACGCCATAATCGAATGTATACTTGGGGTAGTGCTGAGGCTCGTGATGTTCATAATGTCCGAGATGGCCGTGATCAACTGCTGCACCATAGCTGTCATATCCATGCACGCCAAACTGATGCACGTCATCGTGTTGCACTACTGCGGCATAACTGGAGGCATGGCCGTGTGGAATATATCCTGCTGAAGCAGCGCCGAAGATCGCAAAAGCGGCTATGGTAACGCACGATATGAGCTGCATTATTAGTAAATTAGGTGTGTTTTTTTCTAAGAATTACTATCTAAATCCTAAGTTATTGTAAAGCGTTAAGCACTTTGCTGACAGGCAAACTCGTACTGATGCTAAATGCCTATCCATATTAACTATTTATACCCGTCATCGAGTTAAATCGATTATTAGTTTACTGTTCTGCAAATGAGTCAATCATAAGCCACTCACTTTAAAAGTATGTACATATGTGTGTATGCGTGTGTGTGTATGTATTTAGTTATTTTTTGAATTTGTTCATATCTGGACAAAAGTTTTTACACCATTTCGTAAGACAAAGGAGAATAAGTTTAATTAATTTGCTCGAATGTTAAGCCAAAAGTGCGATTTGTAACATTCTTAGTTATGAGTTTGTGAACCAATTCGCTAATAGAGCAAATAAATTAAGAAACGAAAGTCACAATCAAATTCACGCCATAACTATTATTGTCTGTGAGTTATTAACTAATCGAATGGCTCAAGGTTACCTCGCACATTCCGGAGGTATTGTAAAGTACAAGAGCACATTCATAAGCAATATATGTAGAAACACAAATACATGTACATACATGCATATAATTTAATTATTAATTTTTGCTGCACTCACCCAAGGAAGAATAGTACGTTTTAATTTTTGATTGGGAAGGTGTGCCACATAAAAAGAGGCGTGACCAATTAAGAAACCATTTTTCAGATTATAATGACTACAAAAATTAATTAGGACCTTTCTATATTAAGACATCCTAGTGTTTTAGTACGTTGTGAATCTGCTTATCTAATGGCGTTTCCGTTTCTACAAAAAATTTTGTGTGTAAAGGGCAAATAAAAGTTAAAATTCTTCGGTAGTAACGAAAACGCCATAAGTTCATAGATGCATATGCTTTAGGGCGGATCGCGTAAAGAAGTTGTTAACTATCACACACTATCAACCAACTCCTGATTGAGAGCTTAATTCGAGAGGATTTTGACGCCATAATATGTATGTATATTAGGGTGGTCCAAAAACAGTAAAGTCGGAATTGTAATGCTCTCACCCTCTAGGATTGTTCTATATCGAAAAAACTATACCCCTATTTTTTAAATCAAAAAATATTTAGAGGTCGCTCAAAATGCTCAAAGCTTTCCATGTATGTATCTATATTTATATGGGAATAAACTACTCTTCATAGAAATGGTATAGAATTCTTGAAAACCAATATTTTTCGATCGGAAAATTCTGGTTTCTTCAGCAGACTTTCAATAATAATACCCAATTATTTATTTTTTAAAACTAACGATTTTTTATTGGTCCCCCTTTTGCATTTTTTCGGGGTTTTTGTGGGTTTTTAGCGGACCTATAAATTATAGTTGCGATGTAAAACAGTTTGTCGATGGAAAAATATTGATTTTTAAGAATTGATTTCTACGAAAAGTTGTTCTTCCCCCATATTAAATATTTTTTGATTTCAAAATAAAAAATGGGGGTATATGTTTTTCGGTATAGGACAATCCTAGGGGGAGAGAGCATAAAAATTTCGACTTTACTTTTTCACATGCATTTTTGGACCACCCTAATATGCATACATCCATACGTACATATATACAGTGGAGGAAGAAATAATAGAAACTTTTTATTTAATACTTAATGCTTTTTTATAAAAGTCTAGCGCATAATATAACAAGCACCATATAAATCCACATTTCAAACTCTGTACGAAAATTATAAAAATTCAACAATTGTTGCCAAAAGTGTCAAATGTCACATGCACTTGAATAGGGACAATGCTTTTTCGCGTTTTTGTTCTTGGAATATTTTTCATTTAATATGATTTCCATTCTCTAAAAAATCATATTAACGCAAGTTTCAAACTTTTTTAGAAAAGAAAAAATCATCAAAGTTGCAAACATTTTATCAATAAAAAAATATTGCGGGTTTGAAGTATGACAAAAATATTTAAAGGTAAAACCGCTTGCTCAATTCGTCCGGCATTGGGTTATTTGACGTTTGCTAGCATTTTGAGTTTACGCTCTCGAAATAATTCTAATGTCATACAAATTCAAATAAACAAATGAAAATTTATGATTTCAAATGTTTATTTATTGAGAAGTTGAAAAACTAAAAAAAAATTGGAAACGAAATATTAATTGCCGCTTTATCGACATTATTATTTATAAATATTTTTTTCATGGTTTCAAGTAGCTACAAATTACCGTTATTATTGAGAATTTTTTTACCAACGCGTCGCGACGCCCTTCCGCAATTTTTCCAAGTAAAAAAATGCGAGCATGCGTTGTGAGGAATAAATTGTGAAAAAACCTCAGTAAAAAAATTGTCAAAAATCATCGGTAATTTTTAGGTACTTCAAACATGCCCTTTATTATATATACTAAAATTAAATGGGCTACAAAGCTGCATACACAAAAAATTCTAAAATTTCGCGAAAAAAGTTTGAAATTTTGATGAAAATTTTATGATTTTTTTTATCTACAAAATTTGAAACTTGTATAAACACATATATACTTTGGATGTGTATTAGGGCTGTGCGATTATTCGATTACTCGAGCAAGTTGGTTAATCAGTTATTCGGTTAATCACTTACTCGAGTTATCAAGATTTTGATTAATCAAAACGATAACTAATCGAGTTACTTACAATATGGTTGCTCAAAAGTCTCAATTTTGCTCGTTAAAAGAGTTTGCTTTTGAAAATACTTATTTTATTTTTTACAATCTGTATATGAAAAATATATTTCATTTTAATTTTTAAAAAGAGAAACGTTGTTTTCATAGTATCAAGGAACTTCAACTCCTTGATATGTAAAGAGTACTTTGAAATGTTTATTACTCATTTTACTTCTAATGTTGATTAATCGTAAAGCAAATTACTCAAATATTTTTGTTTTTGGTTAATCAAATTCTTGATTACTCGACTAACTGAACTTTTAAGTAATCATAATATCCAATGAATCGAATCATTGAGTTATTTACTTTGTGATTAATTAAAATTTTGAATATTCAATTAATCGCACAGCCCTAACGTGTATAGTTTTCATTACAAAAACAACTTTATTTTAATTGAAGAATTATGAAAATTAAATAAAGAAAAATAGCCCTGAAAAAAGCATTGTCCCTATTCAAGTGCTTGGGGGTGCATAGATGTATACATCATGCATGATTTTGGGTAGGCACATAAAATACACAATATGAAGTAAAGTTTCCAAAGAATCTCCTCGATTTTTATACCAAATTTCCTTGTGACAAAATGGAATGTTTTCAGAAGTGATAAAAATATTAAATTTAGCATTAGTAAAAATTCAGTAGTATTATAGGGATGTTAATGAAGCTGAGGCGAAAACGGAATATACAAAAATAATAAGAAAGAAAAAAATTTTCAAAAGAAATAAAAATTAGTTCACTTTTTCATAAATACTGTATAGCATAGGACATATGTACATACTTCAATTCTCATATAAAAATTTGCTACCGCTAATTTCTTCATGATTCAATGATCGAATCTAAACCAAATTAAAAATAGCAGCGACTACCTCTGAGCTAACACCTTTCCTTTAAAATATGAATTACTAAAATCGGTTGAAGTGGTCCAAAGTTATGCGGTTACATACATAAAAAAAAAAATCCGACGAATTGATAACCTCCTCCTTTTTTTAAAGTCAGCTAAAAATACGTAATTTTTGATTTGCTCTAAAAGTATATCACACACTCATATTCTCCTATTGCAATGTTTTTGTTGTTATTGAATACACAACGATATAAGTCATTCGTTGGGTGTTGACATTTCTTCTGCTGCCCAAGATTTTATTTTGGCTTATCACAGTCGATTAACTCATCACTCTACAGCTTGCTCACTCATCCTGAAATCAGCGACCGTTAAGCCAACAAAGCAATCAACAACGACTAAAGCCACCCAGCAAGCGATGAAAGTGATTCCGACAAGCGACTCTAATATCCTTTTAATTATTTAATTAATTTTTTTCGAATATGTAAAAACACTATGAAGGTTCTGTAGTGACATTGGGATTGTCTGTATGTGTATATAGCAGGCTTCTTATGATTAGAGTTGATATTATTTCAAAACTACATAAATACGTCCATACATATGAGGATTTCCGCAAATATTTATACTTTATGTTAAATACTTTATTTATACTTAATGCTAAATACTTTTTATTTTTGTAATAGATAAGTATTTATTTGTGCATATAAACATATTAACTTAATAAATATTTTTATTTTTCTCCCCGGTGCAGCAATCTATTTCCATTACTACATTTTTCCCTCCCGCATTATTCAATCTATCGCATATTCAATTCATTTAATGCTTATTGTACTTAAGACAAATTATTATTTTTTTATATCACTGCCTTCCTTCAACTACACTCATTGCCTTTTCAACTCTTTTGTTTACCTGCCTTTGTGGATTACTTTTTGTTGAAAACAAAAGCTCTATTGATTTTCGTTTAGATGTTGACTAAGTCTATGAAGTGTTAAATGATTTTTGGCCAAATAGGTTTGCCTGTGAACACACACATGTAAATACATACAGGTTGCTTGCACAATGGCTTAAAAAGCAAGTAAAGAAAAAATATAAGCTCGGGCGACACCGAACTTTTTATACCCGGCGCACGAATTAAATATCGGTTTTTTTTACCTTTCTGTAAACTTCATTATAAGCAAGCGTATTTTTCCCGATTTAAAACAGATTCAACAATATGTTTATCTATACATATAATAAAACTTTAACAGGTCGATGTCTGTAAATTTTATACATATTAAAGAAAAATTTACGTGGGGGGTCTTTATTAGAGCACCAGAAGCCAAATCAACCATTTTTAGAATTTTTGTCTGTCTGTCTGTATGTATGTTTGCACGCGCATCACTCGAAAACGAACTCATAGATTTGAATGCAGTTTTCACCGATGTATTGCTAGAGGTCTAACTTAAAATATAGAAAGAAAAAAATTAGAGAGTTGCCACCTGTTTGAAAATTTTAATTT